CAGGGGTGATACCACATGAAGAAGGAAGGGAGGTTGAAGAGGCGATTGGTGTCCAGGCTGAGGACGAAGTTGAGGTGGAAGAGGCTTGCACCGGCCATGAGTTACATGTGATATCTCCACCAAACTTCGAGGAACTGCTTAGCAAGGACCCATTTGCAGTGTCTCTTTGCCAGACCAAGGCCACATCGACATCAGTCCCTCTTGGTGGACGCGATGGTGGCCAATCGATACTGTCATATCTGGTTTGGGGCAATGAGACGAGAGAAGAGAAGAAGAGGTCTCGAGGGTGGAGACTTCATCTGCATCAAGTACATGAGCCTTCATCACCTGCCACACCACATGCTCGTGACTTGAGACTCCACCTCATCGACGAGAACCTCAACTTCAAGGAGGTTCTCTCATGGACCGAAACTTAGGAGCCATCGTCCGGCTCACGACGTGAAAGAAGCGCTTGTTGGGAGGCAACCCAACCAGTCGGTTTGCATCTCTTTCTCTATTTCTCTTCGGTTGAGTCAGTTTTGTTCTTTGATTTCAGAGTCAATAATTCAACCTTTGTGAGATTTTGTGTGGTGTTTGTGTTTCGACTACTTTGTCCTCCTGGAATGCACCGCCTTCCCCGTCCACAATCATTCACCGTTGATATGGTAACTTCGTTCTACCCTCCTTATCTTTCCTCCATTGAGGACAATGTCGTGCTTAAGTGTGGGGGGATGTTCGATTATGTATGTGTGTGAATGTTTGACTGTTTGTGTCTTGGAGCCTAGTCCACTGTCCAAATTTCGATTTGAGGGCTCCAAGTACGTGTTCCATGCAATTGCCTGTTCAGTATGCTTTGAATTGACAGTCTTTATAGTAATATGCAACCTAGGGAGGTAGTGTAGCACTATGGAGGATGTTGATGCATTTACGAAGTCTCATTTCTTCTTCATATTGAGTTGGTTGATTGAGTGAATTAGTGATCTTAGGACCCTTGAATTGTGTGGTGTTGTGGATTCTCTACCTGTCATGGACTCTTGTATCATGTTTTGAAAATAACAGGTGCTCGAAAATGTGCTTGTGCTCGAAAATGTGCTTCAAAATAAACATCTCCCGTGCGAATAGGGCGAAAGTGTGTAAGGGGAGACGGGAATTCGTTCCCAATTTCCACCTACTACCTCCAGCCCCCTTACATGTCTTTCCCCCGCACGAGGCTCGAGACATCCGCTCCTGGCATGGCCGGTAAGAGCAGGTTGGGACCCTTGAAAGAAAAAAAAAAAGGAAAAAAAATAACAGAAAACAAGCAAAACAGAAAGAAAAGGGGTTCCAACCATCTTCAAAGAAAATCGAGCACCTTGAAAAATGTGAGTCCATGATCTGTTGTTTTTGAGAATCTCCTCATCCACAATTCATTTGTCCTCTGTTCACTATTTGCCATGATGCCGACTCGCCGAAGAAGTTATGAGATGACTTGTGCGTCGGTTGACCTCGTAAGCTGCTAAATGATCTAGGAAGTCCTCTACCTACGATCTGGGTTGTTTGTTGCTATAGAGGTCTGGAGAGTTGCATTGGTTTGAGTTAGGTTTGCTTGGGGACAAGCAAACAGTTAAGTGTGGGGGGATTTGATGACTCGGTATTTGCACATGTTTTCCCCTTTGTTTCTTGATTGTTTGAGCTTGAATTATTGCGTCTTTGGCCTATTTTATGCTAGGTTGTGTTCCTTTGTCCCATTTCAGGTCCTAGCACATAAAGTGAAGCATAGGCGCAAGTTTCAAGTCAATCAGAGATCAACAGACCAGCGTGGCCACGCACGGCCGTGCAACATACAATTCTGGCCGTGCGAGTTGGCTGAGGTTCAACTAATTGATACGCCGCGTTTTGAGGTGCACGGCCAGAATGGTGATGTGCACGGCCGTGCACCCTGGCCGCGCGAGTCGGGATTTCCTTGTTTTAAGCCAAATTCCGAACCAAAGAAGAGGGGGAGCTGGGTTTTGGATCCCAAACACCCAAGGGACGAACCCTAGAGAGAGAGGGCGATTTGAGGGCATTCTTGGAGTAGAGAAGGAGGATTTCTTCGCCTTGGAAGCTCGAGGAACAAGCCCGGACTTGAAGACTGATCATCTGAAGATTCTTACTGCAGTCTCTCTCTTTTCTATGGAGTAACTTCCTTTCACTTAGGTTTTGAGGAACCCTAGCTATGTTTGTTTGATTGGATGATTGTATGAGTACTCTGACTGGATAATCTTGAGTTCATATTCAATCTATGCATGTTTTCATGATTCAATTCTGCTTTAGTCGAGATTATTGATTCTGCTTTGATTCTATGAGAGGGAATACCTGATTAGGTCAATAGAGCACCATAGATTGATAGTAGTGGATCGATTGCTTTAGTCGAGGGTTGATTCACTGCTTTGTATCGATTGAGAACCTCTTTCGATAGAGGGAGTCTAGTTCAGAACGCCTTGATCAGTTGTTCTAGAGAAGGATACGTCCCTCTAGGCAATTGACTCAAGAGGGCCTTGTTCCTTTAGTCGAGACTCAAGGTCTAGTCAAGGATTCTCCGCATTGTGAATGAAAGTGAAACAGGTTAGAGATCATCAATCATTAATCTGGCTAGTGGCTAGGGGGAATCATACCTAAGTGAGTTCCCAACCTGTAATTAGATTAACTTTAACTGTAGTTTGCTAGAGTAGTTTTAGTTCTTTCATCTTAATCTGATTTGCTAAATAATAAACTGAAGCTGAGTAATAGTAACTCTAGAGACCCGTGGATTCGATATTTATCACTTGAGCCACTATACTGCAGTCCCATTCTGCGATTACACTTGGTCGCAGTGTGGGGTTTGTTGCTTTAGAGAGTCAATGTCCAAACTGACTCGGAGCTCGTGGTCAATCAGTTGAACAATGTGTATGAGGTAAAAGAGGAGGCGCTGGGAGCATACGTTCACTCAGTCAGGGAAAAGTGTGCGTGGTTTCGGGAGGCTACGTTCACGCATGTTCCAAGAGAGGAGAACGCCCATGCGGACGCCTTATCTAAGTTGGCCGCGGCGTTGGATTTTGGAGAAGACAGAAAGGTGATCGTCACCAAGGAGGCCCCGCGTGATGAGGGGGTGATGGCGTCTATTCTCGTGGGAACCATGGAAGGATGGATGGCGCATATCATGCTTTTCCTAACGCAGAGCGTGGTCCCTGAAGACCCCAAAGAGGCTTGGCGTTTAAGAAGGAAGGCGGCATGATGTGTCCTCATGGAAGGAGTACTATACAAAAGATCCCACTCAGGCGCCTATCTACGTTGCCTCACGGAGGCCGAAGGGCAAAAGGGTATCGCGGAAGTGCATCAAGGAACGTGTGGAATGCACGCAGGCGCCCGGAGCCTAGAGAAAGTGCTGCTAAGACAAGGTTATTATTGGCCAACAATGAGAGCTGACGCTGGAAAGCATGTGGCCGCATGCTATCAATGTCAAATCCATGCCAACAACATACATGTGCCGGCGGCACCCATGCAAGGAAACGTAGGCGCCTGGCCGTTTGCACAATGGGGGATGGATCTTCTGGGACCCTTCCCCAAGGCGCCCGGGCAATTTAAGTATTTGATTGTGGCTATTGATTATTTTACCAAGTGGATTGAGGTGGAGCCATTGGCATCCATCACGGAAGTGCAAGTGCGGAAGTTTACAAGAAAGAACATCTTCACAAGGTTCGGGCTGCCGGAGTCGATCATCACCGATCATGGCAAGCAGTTTGATTGTTAGAAATTTATCGACTTCTGTGACGAAAATGGAGTGGTCCTGAGATTCTCTTCTGTAGCTTATCCGCAAGCAAACGGGCAAGCTGAAGCGGCCAACAATAGTATATTGCATGGGCTGCATACCAGGCTTGAAGAAGCTAAGGGGAACTGGGTGGAGGAGCTTCCAAGCGTCTTGTGGGCGCACAGGACCACCTTCAAAGTTGCAACAGGGGAAACGCCCTTCGCTCTGACATATGGCAGTGAAGCGGTGTTACCGGTGGAGGTTCGCATTCCGACCTTTCGAATGGCGCATAAGGGGGAGGCAATGGAGGAACAGGAGCGGATCAATGAGTTGGATCTCCTCGATGAGCGTCGTGAAAGAGCGGCTCTGCGCCTGGAAGCAATGAAGTCGCAAGTGGCCCGATATTATAACAAGAAGATGCGCCCGCATGACATTGCGGCCGGGAGCTTGGTGCTGAAGCGCGACTTTCGCCCAAAAGCTACTGACGGAAAGTTGGCACCAAAGTGGAAGGGGCCATATCGTGTGCAAGAGGTAGTTGGGCCGGGCACGTTTAAGCTGGAGCATCTGTCGGAAAAAAAGGTCAAGAGAACTTGGAACGCACAAAACCTGCGAAGATATGAATTTGGGGAGGCAAGTGTGACAGGAGGAGAGGGTAAGGTGCCCGAAGGGGCGCCTAGCAAGTGGTAATTACGAGGGAAAGCGCCAAACCTTGGGGTGTTTTTTTGGTAGGAGTAGAGCAAAGCGCCTGAATGCGCCCATAGTAAAGCGCCCTTCAGCGCCCGGGATACTTAAAGCGCCCGGATATATATTTATGTAAAGCGCCCTTCAGCGCCCGGAAATATTTATGTAAAGCGCCCTTCAGCGCCCGGGATACTTAAAGCGCCCGGAAATAGCGCCCCAATGTTGTTTTTGAAATTGGAATATATATATATACATAGGTACTTCTTTAACTTGTCTATAGCACCAATTCATTGTTCCCTTAATGCGCCCGACACACATAAAGCGCCCTCGCACCAAATGCTCGTGCCCTTAGTAAGGCATGAATGTAATGCGCCCTTAATAAAGCGCCCTCGTACCAAATAATCGTACCACTCAAGACATGCAAAAATAACTTAAGACATGGAAGTAAGACGTCGACAAAAGGATGCCAAAGTAGTAGGCGCCTATATTATGTGAGAAACGAAATAAAGATAGCCATAAGTTCATGTCAAACACCACACAAAATAATAGGCTTCCAAGAGTTCTACAAAGCATGGAAAATTAAAGTAGTAGGCGCCTATTCCTCCCCTGCTGAGTCGTCACTGGACTCAGAGCCCGAATCCGAACCTTCTTCATCCGCTTGATCTTCGGGGGGCGCAGGAGGGGCGTCGACGATGGGGCGCCCGCTAGACATGAACTCAATCACAAAGTTAGCCATCTCCTTGACATCCCAATTGATGGTGGGATGATCAACCTCGAGCTTTCTCTTCAGAATGAGAATGCTGTTGAGGGATGCTTGAGCTTTTAGCGCCAAGTCTGATGTAGGCGCCCCTGCTGCAGCTTTCTCTGCCTTGAGCGCCTCCAACTCCTCTTGGCGCCTCCTATTCTCCTTGGCCAGAATCTTCTTCTCCTTCTGTAGCGCCTTCTTATCTTCAGTAAGGAGGTCAATTTCACTCCTTTGGGTGCCCGCCTCCTTGTCTAGATCGTCCCTTTCCTTCACCAGCTTGGCCATCTCCTCGTGATGCGCCCTTTTGACATTCTCGAGCTGGGCCTCATGCTCTGATTTCAGTCTCTGCTTTTCCTCATCGATGGACTTTTGGACGAGAGAAACAGCTTTGGCAGCCTCGAGATTGGCATCCTCGCACGCCTGCACCAACTCTGCTTGGCGCCTTTGGGCGGTCTCCAAGTCATCCCTCATCACACTAAGGGAATTGCAGGCCTCATTCTCTCCAACGCGCAGCGCCTCGCCAGCCAATGCGCCATTCTTAGCGAGTAGGAGCATCTACAAAAGGAGATCGATCAAAAATTGCAAGTAAACGACAGTTACGCATATGCAAAGTGATAGAAAAGACAAGATGGGCGCATACCTGGGCAGCCATGCGTGCTACCTCTCCCCATAAATTCGCGCCTTGAACTTCGCTGGGCGCCCTCAATACCTCGGCCGCGTGAAAGGCAAAGCCAAGCGCAGAGCCTCTCTCCAAGACAGATCTGTCTGAGCAGGCAATGTTGACTCTGTGCTTGGGGGGGGGGGGGGGTTGTAGCCATTTCTCGACAAACTCCGGGACTCGCTCCTCTGCGCTTGTGCGCTGCTTCTTGCTCTGCGTCCGGGTATCATCCTCAGCCTGCTTCCGTTTCAGCTTTTGCGCAAGCGGGAGATCATCGACATCCAGCTCGGGATCAGAAGGAATGTCGACAGCAAGCGCCTCCTCGTTGGGTTGCACGAAGGTAGGCACAATCTCTTCCTCCACTAGAGGGACACTTGCCACCTTTGGTGGTTTGATGCGCCCCTTTCCTGTGGGTGCTGCGACAGGCGCATCGCCCTTAGCTTCAGAGGATGAGGACTTGTTCTTCCCTTTCTTTGAAGAACCTCTCTGTGGGCGCGAGGGCGCCTTGCCACTGACTGTAGGCGCCTGGTAGTCCAGACCCAGGCCCTCAAGTTGGGTCTTCATCAAGGAGGCAATGGTGGTGAAGTCCACACCTGCAGTAGGGTATACATGGTTAAGTAAAGACATGATGACTGTTGTGCATGTGTAAGAAAAATATGGGCGCATTCAAATTTGTAACAACACAAAAGCGCTACTAAGCGCCTACCTACCGTCGGCGTAGTACTCATGTAAGACAAGAGTTCTAGCGGCTGTAGAACTAAGGTTCACAGGGTGAGCAGATAGTAGGCGCGCGTGATCTTTTTCCGTGGTGGATAATTCCACTTCAACATTGAAGTGTGTGGTATTACTAATTTTCCAATCCCGGATGAAGCGGTCACCGCTCTCGTAAAACGATTTCGCTCGCGGCTTAATGAAAAAGTAGCCCCTATACCACTTGCGCCCCAACTTTGGGCAGTCTTCTACAAAGTGTCCCGGGATATCCAGGCGCCTTTGTAGGGAGAAGCAGTTGTCACTGCTGGTCATAGTGAAGAAGTACCGAAAAAGCTTAAACGTCGGTGTGATGTTGTTCTGCCGACACTTTAGCTTGAATAGGATATGAATCAGAAAGACCGACGGCGATAGGCGCCCGAGAGAGCAGGCGCATGTGGTGAGGATCCCTTCCAAAATCGAATCCAAGGGGAAGCGTAGCCCGAATTTAAAATACTCCCTATATATACCGAGCCATCGTGGGCCAATTGCTCCTATCCTGGCAATTGGAGACGCAGGCGCATAGGACCATGTGCGAGAGAGGTTGCAAGAGGTAATCAGTCGATGCATTTCCGCTAACTTGATGGTGGACGAGTGTTTCGGCCCGGCACGCCGAACGGACAGTTTACTTGTACTATCGGGCGCCTCCCCTTGCGGCCATGTATCTTCCCAATCAACTATCTTGAACGACCCGTCTTCAGGGGCGCCCGAATCAGTGAATGCCGGAGAAACCGCCAAATCACTCGACTTTGAGGAGGTAGGCGCGGAGCCTATAAGTGATCGAAGCGCCCTTGGTCAATACGGAGAACCTAAGACCTCTTGTGGGCGCCTAGCAGAGAATCAACATGCATTGAAAATTCAAAAAGCGGGAGAAAAAAGTGTCTTACCCTGGTTGGTCGTGGAGGGTGCTGGAGTGGTAGTTGTGGGTGCAGTAGAGGCCGCCGCCACTAAAGGCGCCTCCGCGCCGGTGGCCGCAGTAGAGGAAAGGGCGGATTTCGTTTGCTTAGGCGCCTCCTTGTTAGATCGGGGCCCCCGTTGGTCTTGATTTCGCAGCGGGTCAGGAGAAAGATGCTTCTCGAGCACATCGAGTATGCTAGGCGCCGCGCTTCCGCCCTTCTCGGCGGAGGTATGGGTCGCACCGGAGTCTGATTGAGACATAATTGCAGGACACAAGCAGACGCACGAGAGAGCGAAACCTGGGGCGCGCGGGCGAGAGAGGGGTGGAGCGGTTAGAGAGAGAAGCTAGAGAGAGAGAGGAGTTTAGTGCGAATAAAATAGTGAGGGGAGGAAGATGTGTATTTATAGGAGAAGGGAGATGGAGAGTCACCTCGAGATACGCGCGCGCCAAACGGGCAGATCCTCGCCCTTCGTTCAAAATTCGAATTTTGAATTTCAAAATTCGAAATTTGAACGAACGCCGAGTGGGGGGCGAGAGGTACGGTCAAGCGCCTCCTTCCGATTGTTTTATCTTACCCGAGAGGTACGGTCAAGCGCCTCCTCCCGATTTTTTTATCTTACCCGAAGGGAATTAACGGGTCATAGGGTGGAACGCGAGCGGCGTGAAACGGGCGCATATGCCACGACGGGTGCGTTAAAACCGTCGGAGGCGCAAAGGCTAAATGTAAAATGACTACAGGCGCCTGATTGAATTCAAGAAGGCGAGGGGTCGCAAACGGGCGTCTATTTCTCCTTGTTTTCATAAGAACGGGTAAATATTCACAAGCATGGATAGAGGCCAACAGACGCATGGTGTGGGGGCAAGGTGGCGCCGGGCTCCTGTTAAAATCTCTGATAAGGAAAAGTGGTGAACGGGTACCTTAACAGAGCCCACGCGCCAAATCAATTCTTTCATAGTTAGGCACTTACTTGTGAGCACCTAACTGGGGGGCAATTGTTGGGGAAACATAAATAAGCCCATCTAAGCCCAAAGCCTGATGGGCTTGGAGCCCATTAATGCCCATTGAGACATGACCTGGGAGGCACCAACGGTAAAGGGGCGCATCGCGACAAAATAGGCTCGTGGACAAAGAAGTACGGCTGAGGAGGATCAGAAAAGCACCACGTAGGCGGATGGTCCCCCCATGCGCCCTGACACCAGAGTCTGACAATGCGCCACGTGGAGGCGCTCGGACGTTGGACCAGACCAGGCATTTAATGCTTGGCTGACGTAAGGCTTGGTGACAGGAGTTGGTCGGAGCCTGGTCGAGGAGCTCGAGTAGTATAAATAGCACTCGGTAGGTGGCATTTACTCAGGTCGGTTTCTCTCACTAAGTTCTATTTCTTCACTTATTTCTCTAGAATCGGCACTGACTTGATCGTTGGAGTGCTAACGGGCAGCACCAGCCCTCTAGGCGCTAGTTTTGCAGGGCATGGGCGCCTGTGGTGCAGCGGATTAGGCACGCTTGGAAGAGTGAAGTATCTGGGCTTAAACACTAATAAACAAGAATATTAAGTATAATTTGGGAAACATAAACAATATAATATGATGAATTGAAAGTTTGATGACTGATTTAACTTATGTTTTAATATTGATTACTATAAAATAATTTATCTTTAATATATATATATTTAGAAAGAAACCCTACTACCTCAACTCCACTTTTTCATCTTTCTCCGCCGCTCGTCCATTTTTCACAAAAGAATCTTCTTCACTCCCACGGCCACCGTCCCTCTCCCTCACCCTCGCGTCCCCAACTCTTCCCTTTCTAAGTTCTAACTCAAACTCTCACTTCTCTCTCTCACCCTCTCACGATCCCTTTCCTACTCTCAATCTCTCTCTCTCCCATTTATCAACCCCTCTCTTACGCTCTCTCTCTTTCTCAACATCCTTTCTCTTTTTATTTCAGTTTTGAGTTTTCATATTTACAGTCAAGATTCCAAACCCTAGGGCAACGTGGACAGATTCGTTTTTACTGAGTGGGTGGAATGGTGAAAACCGGTCGGATGGTTTGAACGGCTCAAGCGGTTAACCATTCGAATCTTTCACCAGCCTAACTGTTCGCCCGTGGAGGCTTTTCGACTAATCCGAGCCAGGCTGATAGTCCGGTCCCAATTTTACCGGTCCGACCGTCCGGCTCGACGCAATTTTAACAGCACTGCTTTAAAGTATTGGTGCTTTAAAGTACAATTTGAAGTTGTTTTATAACGTTAATGCTCTGTTTGGGTAGAGGGGAAAGTGGGAGGGGGGTAAGAAGCTGGGGGTAAGTGGCAGAATCGAGACAAATGCCCTTGTTTGGATAATTTGATACAGTGGCAGGCGGGTGCAAAAGGTGGGCAAAGTTACTATTCAAACTTGCACCCCAATTTGAAGCGTAAATGGTGGAGGAAGTAAAGAAAGCTGGTGGTGAGTTCAGGGGAAGGGAAGGAACGTTGGTGGGGGAAGAGAGAAGAGGTGGTGGGGCAAAGGAAGAGAGTGAATGGGAGGAAGAGAGAGAATGGTGAGGTTGGGTTATTTTATATTATATATTTATTATTATTATTCTATTAAATTTATATTTTATATCTAAATTTTCACCCTCCTACTTTTTTATCCAAACAATAATTTGCAACCCAATTTGCACCCCCCTTAAACTCACTCCCCCCTATCATTTACCCCTTAATTTGTACCCTCCTTGAATTTGCACCCCCTTGTTGCCAAACAGAGTGAATGTACAAGTTAGAGTTGTACCATAAGAGAATTTGACTTTTATGTTGTGGTACAGCTTCAACTTTTCAAGCTGTACTATAACTTAAATGTACAACTCTACTTTGTACCATAAAAAGATTTTACAAAAGAGTATAGGTACAATCTAAAGTTGTACCATAACGTTAAAAATACAATCACAACTTGTACTATAAAGACAAAAACTAAAGCACCAATACTTTAGAGCGTTGTAAAATTCCTCAAATTATAGACTATTGTGTATTTTTGGAGGGATTTTTAAAAGATGATTTCATACTTCAGAAATTTAACTTGGATCAAACATTTACAAAAGTTCGGTTTTTGAAAAAATTGAAATGTGTATTTTTATAATACAAAAGCAAAAACTTCGATTCGAAGTTTAAGCAAAAGGTTGTTTTGAAAATATAAATTATCCTTATCATTTTATTTTGTCTTCACAAAATATACTTTTCATTCATTTATATAATTTAAAATACAATTAGAAAATAATATAAAATAAATTACTTCTAATAGTTATTCAGTACACTCAACTATATTTTTTAACTACTATCTAGAATCACTAGCAAGAAACTGTTGATGCAAAAGACACGGCAGGCCCAACCAGCTCATTGTTCTTTAGGCGAAGAACAATATTGTCATCATAACCGCTTTTGGCCTTTCATACAGTCCAATCCCTAGGGATGTATAATTGCCGATTACTACTTAGCTTAATCGGCAAACTAAAGGAAGCAAAAATGTGGGCGTTACGTTACTACACGACAAACAGTGGAATGGCACGTCGACGGAAAAAGGAAGGTTCATGGAAGCATCAATGTACGTCGACGACGGCGACGGGAATGGATAGACTTTTCGCATTGAACTTTTTTGCTGGGAGAGGACATATCTGTGCGATATGGCTAGGTGCTCGCCACACATTGGCACCTGTCTTGACAAAAATAACATAAAAAACGAAAAGAACGACAGAAGAAAGGAGTGCAATCAATTACTCATCAGTTTCCAAAAGGAAGAAAAACAGGTGGTTTAGAATAGGCAAGGGCCCAGCGGCAAAGATTTCGCACCCAAATTCATTAACGATCGAAGGATCTTTCGAGGGTTGGTTAGAACTAAGAGAGATTAGGACAGAATTTAATGGGGAGGGGGTTTTGGGTTGAATTGAGGAAGATTCGAGGAAGAAGGAGAAACAACGAGATAGAGGAAATTAGGTTTAGTATTTATTTAAGCTTCTATTCATTTGGGTTCCTCATTTCTCCTCCAAGAATTAGAGAATACAAAAAAAAAAAAGACTCAAAATTAGGTTATGCTACTTCTATTATGCCCAATATAATTACCAAAGCTACTCCAAACTCCAAAAAAAAAAAAAATCAGTAAAATCTCAAAATTATTATGAAACACCTGGTAGATAACCAAATAGTTGGATACAAATTCGTTATAAATTAATTGGTTTTAATAACTCGAGTTGCTCGGGAAAAAATAATTATGAATCATATATCACTCTCTTACATTGTTTTGTTAGATGGATAGGACCATGATTGTCACGCCGGCCGGCATGCCACTGATTCAACCTGGAATCATAGCACACCTCACACGTTTATTCCTGTCAACACGCTTCCAGAATTGGATCTATGGTGTCATCAACTCAAGAAATGCCTCTACACCTAATAACATTAGCACCTATTACTGATGTCCAAAGAAGTTGCACATCTCTGATCTGGTGGTGAAATGAACGGGTAATGCTTTTTTATATTTCCTAGCATCATCATGTAGGAATTGGAACATAGCTGATCCTCTGGACCATCGACAAAGAATCGTTTATTAGAAGGGGAACTGGACAGAACCAGGTTCAAGAACACGGGCCGCTCCAAACTTCGCCACCACTGCCGTCCTGCCAGCTGCATTGTCACAGTCCAAGAACTCAGTGTCACAGTTTACAAGTAAACCAGTCACCGTACAAAGCCAAAAAACTATTACATCACCCTTATCCCTCTCAATGCCGCAATTTCCCTTTCAAAGAAAGCTTACAAAGCTCGTACAATATATAGTTCAATGGTGTATAATATTACAAAAAAAAGGATTGCAGATTTGCAGAGACAAACAACAATCACCCACGCCACCACACCCCTCTCTTCTCTCTTGGCCATACATTTCCCAAAAGAAAACTAAAAACCATCCCCCAAGAATGGCCAAAGACAGAGAGAGAGAGAGAGAGCTTTTGTTTTCTCTATTGTGGTATGTGTTTCTTCCTTCATATGTACAAAGAACTGAACTGAACTGAACTAAACTCCAATCTGGAGCTGTGTCATCCTAAGAACCCCTTCAAACGTCGAGTTCGGCCACTGGATGACTGGACGGGCTCGAGCTCTCCTGAGACCTCGAGGACTCGGCGATCTTGGCACCCACCTCGGCGATCACAAGCTTAGTCAGCAGCAGACCGGCAACGAAAGCTGCCCCCATCAGCATTGTGAAAACTGCACTCCAACTCGTTGCGGAGATGTAACCTGTCAGCAATGGTCCAATTGCTGCCCCAACTGACCCTGTTCCATCTATAATGGCTGTCACGGTAGCCAGAGCTCTCGAATTCCCCTTCAACGAGCTATGCGTTCCGAGATCAGCCGAGACTGCTGTTGTAATGAGTGCATAAGGTCCATTCACAAACATTCCGGTAATCAACATGAGGACGATGTTCATCGTCAAAGAGACATTGCCATAGCTGCGGTAGAAGTAGAGTGCTGGAATTGCACAGTACATGAATCCTGCGGCGGTAATTGCTCTAGCATTGAGACGGTCCGAAATGTGGCCGGCTAGGATCCCTCCGACCACGCCTCCCACATCGAACAGGGTCGACAAGTTGCCTGCTGTACCACTTGAGAGATACTTCCCATCAATTGCTGCAAAACAACATAAAATTCAATCTCATTGTTAGCACCAAAATTTGTATGCAAATTAGTGAATGATCAAAGTTTAACTTGTTTGGTTCATTGGTTACCTGTGTGGCTAATGTAGAAAGGAAGCCAGTAGAGGAAAGTGTAGGCAACCAATTTGGAGAAGAAAAGGCACAGTGCGAATGGAGCAACTCCAGGGATCTTCCATGCTTCAATGAACCCAACTGCTTCTTGTTTACCTTTGAAACCCGAGCTCAGCAAAGGCTCAGTGAGCCCCACTTCCTCTCCATTACTCTTCTTCGGAGAGCTCGATTCATCCTCCTCAACTCGGTCAGCTCCGACCGAGGAAGGATTAACCGGCAAGAACAGAAACACAAGCAATCCAACAAAGGCAATCACAAAACCAGGCACAACAAACGACCAACCCCAACCATAGCTCAACATAGCAGCAGCAATCAAAGACCCTGAGATGTTGCCAATCGAAGTATGAGCATTCCAAATCCCCATGATCAAACCTCTCTTCTTCTTCCCACACCAATTCCCCACCACTGCAACAACCGAAGGCCAACCGGTCGATTGGAACAACCCAGCGAGCATTTGAACCGCCAGGAAGTAATAGAAGTTGTGGATGTCTGCCCAATATCCAGCTCCAAAGAGTGAAGTGAACACTCCAGTGCCCACCATTCCAATAGTCAAGAAGATTCTCAAGTTCATCCTGTCACCCAAATGCCCCGAGAAGTACATCCCCATCGCATATACTGCTAGAAACGCGAGATCGACTTCTCCCAGCAAGCCAGTTCCATTGGCGCCATCAAATGGCGCCCATCCATCACCAAGCGCCCACGGAAGCGTGATGGGTTTTCTTTCAGTTGGCTGGCTCACGTAATTGATCTCCCATAGTTTGGCTGTCGAGCCGAGCTTCGAGGATGCAGGGTCCAGAGCGCTCTTGACAATGCTTGTCGTCTTCCTGGCCGCATGGTAGGCGGCGTATGCTAGAAATGTTACGACCAAGACGATGACTTGGTAGGTTTTGTAGGAAAGAGTGCCTTTTTTTATCCACTCGATAAATCTGATTCCGAGGGGCTTTTTCTGAGCTGTTGTCTCGTACCCTGACTCTGGCATTTCGCCCATGAATTATCGATCTGGGAAAGTTCAATTTCACTGTCAGGCGAAGTTATAGCGATCTGTGGATAAGAGAAAATTTACATTTCTTAGATTATGATCAGAGAGGATTGCAATCCGAATTAAGTCGACAATAATTCAATGAAGAGAGAGTTGGAATGATCAATTGAACTAAACATGGACGAAATTCACGGATTTTGAGTAAATTATCTGAAATCCAGAGATATACCTATATAAGGAAATTGATCAAAACTGTATAGAGGAAAGCAGGGAGCAATTCTAATGGAGCAGATAGGACTTGTTAAAAGAAGCAGAAAAGCCCAGAAATCTCGTGAACCCAGAACAGGAAATCGAAAACCCAACAAGAAAAAGTAGACGGCTGAAAGATCAAGGTAGGAAAAGCAAAACCTTTCTTTGTTCAACCAACCAGCGAAACAACTCACACGCGCAAACAAGAATACTCTGTCAACAAGCAAGCAACCGTTTCGCCGCAAACGAAGACATCCAAAAAAATTAAGAATTCGCCCAAAGGAATTTGACACTTAATCAGCATGTGAAACGAAGAACTTTAAGACCCCATTGTTGCCAAAGCACATAAGCATAAGACGGAAGAAAAGGTGAGCATAATTACCACCGCCTTAGCAGAGCTTTCTCTCCCTCTGTTTTCTCAGTCCTTCCGCAGCTGGTGGATGACTGGTCCTTCGGAGAGCCGTTCCGAGTTCTAATGGGAAACGGAAGAGTAGAAAACGGAAGGTTGGAATCGGAAACAGGATCAAGGAAGGAAGAAGAATGGGGAAATGGTCGGTCGAAAAAAAGGCTCGCTTGTAGAGCGGTCCTTCTGAGACGAGAAGGAAGGAAGGGATTCTTAAGGAGGACGTTAATATTATTTTATTCCGCGTAATGCCTATTTTACCCTCGGCGAATCCCTTTCCCATTAATTAGTGGCTGGAGTTCAATTTGGGGTTTAAACTCGTGACGAATTGTCGAGAATACCCTTCACGGCCGGCGGAACGTGTATAATGCCCCCATTGTTGACGTCGTCGGCACTCGGCCGGGAAATTAGTTAAAAATTATCGAGCCCAGTTACGGCGTTCGGATTAGCCACGTCACCGAGTAGAATCTTCCAGGAATATTCTCGGATCCTTTTTTTTTTTTGGCTAACAAACTTGGAATATTCCTATTTACGGAATATCCATCCAAGAAAACATCACATAAACCAAGAAGAGAACCCCAAGTAAACTAATTGCGCAATTTTGTGGGCGCATTGCTGTAGGTGGTATCTTTGAATTGTTTACTCAGATGCAACTGTTTAGAAATAGACACTCTAAATTGGGGGTGTGGAAAGATTCATTTCTTCTTTCATTTCTTTTTTTCCTTTTGAATGTGTTATGTACTAGATAGTACTGGACGAGTTTATCCATTTTGTAATTAGGTAATCACTTTACCCTGTCTGATAGGTGTGTCAACAAAGAATATCCAACTTAAGGATCACATACACACATGATTCCTTGTCGTATGAAGTGAAATCAAGAATTGAAAAATCTGATGTACCGTTCGACAAGAATACATTATATTGGTAGGTAGTATTTAGATGTACGAAACAGTTAAACCACGGTTAAACTAAATATCATTTATATCGTTGATTTTTCTTGTACAACCTCTAGTACGGTTTTACAATACTTGATTGAATAGTTTCAGCATAAAATATCACACCGCTAATTTTTTCACTCTAATACTTTGTTGCTCATTTGCATTTATAAACAATACATTTTGGTAATTATCTCAAAATTATAAAATAATTACTTTATAACGAGTTAATTTAAATTACGTGACACCTCGGATAATTGTAATTTTCTAGAAACGAATCAATTCAAAATTACAGAACCCAAATTGCTGCATCATGTTGCAAAATTGATTCAGTTGAGATTCCCAATCTAAAAACATCTTTCTTCTGAGCAACAATATCTACTCACTTGTTCAACCCCCTTAAAATAATTATCAGGCTAGTGTAATAAAATGGTTAGTAAGGGTATGTATAAGATCTAACATAACATTCTCCCAACAACTCGAGTTATTGGGATCAACTGATTCTTGACATGTTATCAGAGCCTTATGTGACCGAAAGGTCTTGTGTTTGAATCCCGGTGACCCCGTTTGTGAAGCACATGATATCGTGTATTCAGACCTGTGCAAACGAAAGCCCTTATGCGATGACTGACTTTCGTTTGAGAGAGATGTGTTAGTGAATGGTATATGATTCACGACTTAACATCTCCCAACAACTCGAATTATTTGAACCAACTGGTTTATGACAACTATCTCCTTGTATTCACCTTCTCTCCCGTGTCCGGAGCATACGGTAAGAATCCCGTTCAAAACGTGGTAATAATAATCGTGGTCATGCACGATGACTCGGCTCCCGGCAATCCTTTTTACTGCCACGTACGTGCAGTGGCGGATCCAGGATTTTTTTATAGGGGTGTCCTCTTCCAAAAATTAAATTAAATTAAAAAGTAATTAAATAATTCATAAATTGGAAAATATCCGACTAGTATATATTTTAACAAAAGGTCCGGACGTATTTTCATATTTTGAAAAAAAGATTAAAAATAGACTCAATATCTACATTGCTCAACAAATCTGTATATCATACTAGATAGTAATGCACGAACTCGTCGCATATTCGATTCCTAACCTTGTTCTTGATGTAACTCAAAGTAGAAAGACTCTTTTAACTATTGTCGTGTAACCATTAAATCAATTCAAATTAAGGATAACCCGTAATTAGTGAAAATAATTGGGGATAAGGAATAATGTTTTTACTATTTTATAGTGTTTAAAATAGAACAAGAAACGAGTTAAAACCTAGAGAATATGTTTAATAATAGTAGTGGCCTAGGTTTGAATAATACAAAGTACCACTTATATTTTTTTAATCATACACAAATTACTACCGAGATTAGGATAATCGTTTTTTTCAAAATTTAAGGGTGCCCCAGATTATCGATTATAATTTTTTTATCTATGCGAAACTATTATTTTGGGTTAGATAGTCGTTATCCCAAATTTTAGAGGTGTCCCGGGACACCTCTAATGGTCCATGTATCCGCCACTGCGTACGTGGACTATCCAGCTTTTCTTTTATTCTCATCACCGGTACGCCGCGTTTCACTTGGGAGGGCAAAACAGGAATTCGGCAGCTCAATTACGGGCCTCTAATACTGGATAGGGGCCATTACTGTCTCGGTCCCCGCAGGGACACTCTCGTCATTCCGCCGGCGACTTAATTATTCAAATGAAAAAGGCATATTCGCATCTGGTTGCCGATGCCCGGGAATTATGCTTTACCAATGGATCGTATATACCCTCGTCGGTCAGAATGTCGCGGGGGACCCACGGTCGCCTAGTGGGAATACGCAACCGGGTGACGTGGACGCCACTCGTGGAGCTTTTGCTTACGAAAGGTGGCGTCCGACGTGGCGAGAGAGCCTTTGGCCGTCCGGCGAGAGGTTGTCTCCTTCACACAAAAAAGACGGCGAGCTTAAAAAGCCACAAATGTGTAGTAGTACTACTGAATCCAAATTTGTTCCGTCTTTGGATTGGGAGAATTGAATGTCGATTATGGAAAATGAAATCGACGACGACCCCTGTGTTTTGGAACGGTGTGATGAAAGGAAATACATGGCCGAGAAGGTTTTGGAAGTTTAGGGTTACTGGCTTTTATTGGTTGATTGTGTAGTTTACGAACTTTTGCTACTGCTTTTTTTGGGGTCCTAAGAAAACAAAGGGCTCTATCAAGTGATATCCTCTTTTTGTTTATGCGTCTATGATGGTAAACGAACCATATACAGCCTGTAGTTCCTTCCGATTGGAGTTCATCTAAGCCACAAGTTTTTAATCCAGCAAGAAATTGTCCTCTTCAGTTCGATCGATTGGTTAAATGGGATTATCGTAACAAATCACAGGTTGTGTTAGATGTCTGGTCACAAAATGAATTTTATTATTGTGTCAATAAAGGGGTGATAATCGGTGGTCTATTAGTCGGTCAACCAAAAAATCGAACTGATATATTGGTTAATTCGCCAACCACAAACCGACAAATAAGGCATCAGTCTCGGGGTTGGTTGACCCATTTTGGGTTATTCGCTAACCAGTGGTTATCGGTTGCTAATCGTGCTAACTGACCAAGCATCCCTTTGACCTCTCGCTGCCCCAACTCCTTCATTCCTCTACCCAACTTCCCATCTTCCTCTACCTTGCCGCCCCAACTCGTTTAGTGTAATCTATTGCCCTCGGTCGTCGTTGTCGCCTGACGGGACTCTTCCTGAAACTTCTGTCGCTGACCTCCCCAAGTTTTGTAATCTATATAAATCACTTTTGTGGTTTCATAATAATACAAGTTACTCTTCCTAAAACTCCTATATGGTATCACAGCCTCTTGCTTAACAGCCGTAATCCAGGAATCCTATAACGTTGTTTCCTTTCGTCGGCGAGATGAGTCCTCACTCACCTGGTCCCCGTTTCTCCTTCCGCCGACCAGCTGCATGCGAGTATGTTGTCATTGGCCCTGATTTCGAAAGCCATCAGCTACATATTCAGTCCCTGGTATAGATTAGATTCCTGAAATTGATTGATTTAACAATGTCTAATTAACATTTCTAATAAATACTAGGAACTAATTTCATATGATTAAGGGCAAGTAATTGCCTATGGAAAACAAAGCATATAGGTAGGGCTGCAAATGAGCCAAGCCGCTCGCGAGCAACTCGGCGTTCGAATCGGAAAAAACTCGTTCGACACTCGACTCGTTATTTAACAAGCCGGCTCGCGAGCCAACTCGTTAGTTAACGAGCCAAGCCTGAGCTAGACCATGCTCAGCTTGATAAGCTCGCGAGCTAGCTTGATTCGGTGGCTTGTCGAGCTAAGCTCGCGAGCTGCCTTGTTTTGAGCTTGTGGAAGGATGAATTACTCTTTTAAACATGAACATTGTCTTATAATACAAATGTGTA